TTGTTGGTTTGCATTGAATTCAAACCAATTTCCGGTTTATTTAAATGGGAGAGGTTTACAACAGCGAAGGAGAGAAAGAGAGAGATGGGTATGAAGGCCTGAGGTTGTATAGGTAGCTAGGTATTTCTTTTGAAGAGAAAGTGTGTGTGTGCGTGTCTCTTCATGAGTAAAGGTACGTGCCTCTGTGTGGCTTGAGGTTTCTCACTTCAAGGCGCCATCAACCGGAAGCTGTTGATTTGTAAAATTAAAATATTTCTCATTTTTGTACGGAATGTAGTGCGGTAGGGGGTTTTCCTTTTCGAAATTCTATTGGACATTCTGTGGCATGACATGAAAGACAACATTTATGTTATATGGAAGAGTATGTGTCTGTGTGTTTTGGTATGAATCCTTACAATCAATGTTTTATGTGTGTGTGTGTGTTTATGTGTTTGAGTTAACTTTAAAATTAAAAGATATTGTGTTTGGCACAATATGAATGGTGGGCTCTTGACGTGCTAATGTAATTAAGACCAAGGTGTTGCTCCCTTGGGCCACACACATGGCAGGTGTAATTCTCATTTAGCGCTGAGAATTTTTAATTAAATTATAAATAAATCTAAGGTGTTTTAAGAAAATGTTTTCCAAGACAACAGTCTTTTATAGCTTTGGCAAGAAGGGGATTATGGAGAAAGTTAATGGATTTTCAAGGAATTGATTTTCCTTTAAACTAAACTAAAATCAAATCAGAAAAGCGGCTTTAAGAAATATTTAATATTTTAAATAATTGAATGGTAAGATCTTCTTATGAAAAAAAAAATTGTCATTATAGTTCCATAATTTGTATAGACTTCAAATAACCAGGAAAAATGTGGAAAGTGTATGGGCCACTGTTATTATTACTAATTTCCTTAAATATTATATTTTTGACAACACTGGCTTAAACTGCTTACGCACATTTCGTCCTGTTTTTCATTTTTTATTAATTTTCTCTGTCTGCATGTCCCAGAGATATATATAAAAACAAAATATATTTAATTGGTTTAATTGGGGATGTTTCTTGAAAAGACGTATTAATGCACTTCCCAGATATATAGGAGGTTTTCCTAATATTATCCAGGATCTTCCAGACTATAATAATCACATTTTTTAACAGAACCCTAAAAGGTAGTCTGCGACACAATTTTGTGAGGAATATTAAAAAAAAAACAAGTTAAAAAGCAGTAAGTTCGGCCGGGCCGAACTTTTAATACCCTCCACAATTTGGAACGAATTTGGAAATTTTCAAAAAATAAAATCCTTATATAAGGAGGTGCCGTTATATTGGAGCTGTGCGAAGACCTGGACCAGCATAGACAATTTTCTGTCACAGGCTATAGCATCCATTACTAACGTCAAATACGATATCTCAAACAATTTCGGTGGGTATTGTACCTAAACTCGTCAAAATACCGAATATAGGAAGATACCGTTATATAGGGGCTATACGAAGACGTATAATTTTCTGCCATAGGCTGTAGTTACCATAACGAACTTTAAATATCAATTTTGAAACAATTCCGGTGAATAATGTCGCTAAAATCATCAAAATACCGAATATAGGGAGGTACCGTTATATGGGGCTATACGAAGACGTGGACCTGCACAAACAATTTTCTGTCTTAGGGTGTAGTTTCCATTTTGAACTTCAAATATCAAATTTGAAACAATTCTCGTGAATAATGTCGCTAAAATCATCAAAATACCCACTATTGAGAGGTACCGTTATATGGGGGCTATATGAAAACGTGGACCTACATGGTCCATTTACGAACTTAACCTGCCTACTGGAAAAATAAACATGTGTGCAAAATTTTAGCCATCTATCTCAATTCATTCGAACGTGATTACAACAGATAGACGGACCGACAGACAGACAGACGGATATCGCTAAATCGACTTAGAATTTTACGCTCATCAAGAATATATATACTTTGTTGGGTCTGACATGAGTATTTCGAGGAGTTACAAACGGAATGACAAAATTAAGATACCCTTCATAGTATGGTGGAGGGTATAAAAACATAGGATTGGTCCCGACAAAAAAAAAAACAAGTAAAGATAGGCCAAAGTCAGGATGGGCCGACTTTATGATACCCTACCGTACACCACTTTGCATGTTTAGTAGACCTATATATAACAAATAAACTTTTTTTATGGGGAATTTATGAGAATTACAACATATCAGCCATGGTAATAAGGAGGTAGAACAGCTTCCTAAAACTACAGAAATACAACCCTGAGGCTATACCCGCTTCCTGTCAGACTCATTAAAAATTATATTCAACAAGTTGTTTGCATTTATTTGATATTTTTCCTCAATAATACCCTGACCACCTTGTGGTATAGGGATTTGTTTGCAACAGGCAAAAGGAAACGAGATATATATATATATATATATATATATATATATATATATATATATATATATATATATATATATATATATATATATATATATATATATATATATATATATATATATATATTCGTCCGATTTGCCTTTTATTGCCGAATAGTATGGAATTTTGCACATACAACCAAATTAGGCCTGAAAATATGTATGCCAAATTTGATCTAAATCGGTTCAGATATAGCTATAGCTCCCATATATATTGTTCATCCGATTTGTTATTTTTGTCCTCCGCAGCCGTAATATGCGCTCTGTAACAACAATATTTGGGGAAATATATCAAATGCAGCTCAGAAATACCTTTGCTAAATTTTATCGAGATCGGTTCATATTTGGATATAGGTCCCATATATAACTTCGTCCGATTACTTTTTATTGTGCACCAAACGTCTAATATTTGCTCAAATGGGATGTAATTTGGCACATACGACCGAATTGAGTATAGAAGCTAATATGCCAAATTTGGTGAAGATCGGTTCTTACATAGCTATAGCTCCCATATATACTGTTCATCCGATTTGTTATATTTGTTACCCACAGCCGTAATATGCACTCCGTAACAACGATATTCAGGGAAATATATCAAATACAGCTCAGAAATGTCTTTGCCAAATTTTATCGAGATCGGTTCATACTTGGATATAGCTCCCCTATATATATCTTTATCCGATTTCAAATTAATTGTGCACCAAATGTGAACTTTAAATTATAATCATAGCGTGTATGATTGAATTCTCCCATAAAACTTTTAATTGTTATGTGGAGCTCTACTAAATTAGCAAAGTGGTGTAGGGTATCATTAAGTCGGCCCCGTCCGACTTTAGGACTTTCTTTACTGTTTTTAAATTGATTTGGCCCTTATTTGGTATCTTGGTGTCTAAGGTGGTAGAAGACCCCTTCGCCGAAAATGTTCCATGTAGATCAATGTTTTGGAGTATAAAGTACCTCCCAATTCTACAGATTTCTGCGGATTTTTCCCCCGATTTCACATCTATTTGGCTACATTGATTTTAGACTACTTTGGAGTAGGGAACCATCTCAAAATAGGTAAATATTTTGGTATAGTCCCACATAACATCCTTGCCCAAAATTGTCAATATAGGCCCACGTTTTAGTATTACCCTTATATGAAGATATCTCCTGATATATTTGAGATATTTCCGGGCTCTTTGCAACATTTTTTAAATTATTATTTAGACCTTATTTGTTATCTTGGTTTCTACGGGGGTAGAAACTCTCTGCGCAGAAAATGCTTAATTTTGGTCAATGTTTCGGAATATAAGGTACCACCTGATTTTACATATTTCGGCGGCCTTTTTACCTAATTTTCAATCGATTTGGCTAAAAAGATAATTTAAGGCTACTTTGGAGTTAGAGAACCATCTTATGTCAAGATATGTATAGTCATGACATTACGGTAATCCCAAGTCCACGTTCCCAACCAATACTCTCTGGGGTGGAAAATGCAGGTTATGGCATTAGGTCATTATACCCTACATCACACTGTGGTAAGGGTATTATGTCTTTCTTCATTCGTTTGTAACAGGGAGAAGGAGGAGAGATAGTAGAGATAATTGCTTCTGAGAATATTCATAAAGCACTTTCTCAGTCGATTTATGCATATCAGCCCGTCCGTCCCTCCATGTATCCTTGTGAACAAAAATCAGATATCATTTATAATCCGATTAAATGAAATTTTACAAACAATATTTGTTTGGTCCAAGGACGAACCCTATTGAAATTGGTGATATTCGGATCAGGTTTAGATATAGCTCCCATATATCTTCAGCCGATTTCGGTTTAATTGTGCACCAAATGGCCAATATAAGTCCAAATGACCTGTATTTTGGTACATCCCACCGAATTCAGTTTATTTCAGAATTTATTGCGCAAATAGTGACTAATATCAGCCCAAATGGAGTGGACGTACGTTTCCATCTTGTGGAGCTTGGCTCCGATACATATTTTTTTAATATAATAAATAAAATAATAATAAAAATAACTTTTTTCTGATTCTTCTTGTTCAAAATCTTGAGTATTTTTTAATAATGAAAAATTTTTGCTGCCTTTTTTTACTAAATTGCCTTTCAAAGGCATTCTTTTACGCTTACGTACATTTCTATCTTATGTAAATCTCCTGGATTTATTCGAAACTTCTTTCAACTCGTACCTGTTAAATTATTAATTTCGTATTTCAATAAATTTGCTGATAACCCTTAGCTTGCTTTTAAGCCACAACGTTTTTTTTATATTTTATGGCATCTTTAAACTTTTTCCTCAAAAGTTTTTTTTTTTTCTTTTATCGTCTGTCTTCATCCGATCCATAAAAGGTTTCTGTTTACAGTGAAAGTTTTTTCTCCACTTTTTCTAAGAAAAGTTAAAACTTTTTGAAATAAGGCCATAAATATCGAAATGTGTTGTATTTCTTATTTTTTGAGTTAGATTAAAAGATATTTTAAAGTCGATTAATTCCATTGAATACACAAAAAAAAATTGTTCTCATCCTTTGAATTGTTAAAAAGGGTATTTTGAAAAGAGAGAGAAAAAAAAACTGGCCTTTTGTACTTACTCATCAATCTCTTCCTCTGACATTGAGTGACTGTTGCTGGTTAACAAAGACATTTTGTTGTTGTTGTTGTTTTAGCTGGAAGGAAAGAAAAATAAATAAATTATTATTTCATTTTATTGAAAAAAATGTCTATATAAAAATGTCTAGATATAGATAACTGACTGATTGAACGAGAATTAACGCCTGAATAATAAACGACTGAAGCTAGAATCTTGAAAATTTGGACAACCTTGGTGCGTGTGTATGAAAAGTACAAAATTATACTAAACATTTAATGCTTTGTATCGGACAACAAAATGAGCAATTCTCTTATAAAGTACAGCATAGGTGTACCAAAGAGTTTTCGTAAATTCGAAATTTAAGTTCACGAAAAGTTCTAAAAGGGTACTAAGGTTACGGAAAATTCTAAAAGGGTACTAAACTTCTAAGATGGTGCTATTTTCATATTATGTGAACGGATAAATGTTGGAAAGTAAGTTGAAGGTTGTATGAAGTTGGTTTGGATATGTGTAGTGCAATTGCGTGAAAAGTACATAATAGTACTCTATTTGGTATAATTTTGGTGTTGGGTGAACATAAATCTAAAATTTAATATTAGAGTAGCTGTTCATGTGTAGCCTGAAAATATGGAGGTGGTTTCGGAAATGTGTACTATAATTGTACGAAAAGTACTAAGGGAGAAGGACCTGGTTTTGGCGCCAAATGGTACTAAATTTGGTAATGAAGAAATTAAGAATATGAAATCCTGAATTTGTATGTTAAAGTCTACATAGACCAGCTGGGCAACATACCTATCTACAGCTGGACACCAGCTCGCCTAAAGAGACCATCTGGGCACCAGCTCGTCTAAACAGACCAGCTGGGTACCAGCTCGTCTAAAGAGACCAGCTCGGCACCAGCTCGTCTAAAGAGACCAGCTGGACACCAGCTCGTCCAAACAGACTAGCTGGGCAACAGCTCGTCTAAATAGACCAGCTCGTCTAAAGAGACACCAGCTCGTCTATAGAGACCAGCTGGGCACCATCTCGTCTAAAGAGACCAATTGGGGACCAGCTCGTCTAAAGATAGCAGCTGGTCACCAGCTCGTCTAAAGAGACCAGCTCGTCTAAAGAGACCAGCTCGTCTAAAGAGACCAGCTCGGCACCAGCTCGTCTAAAGAGACCAGCTGGACACCAGCTCGCCTAAAGAGACCATCTGGGCACCAGCTCGTCTAAACAGACCAGCTGGGTACCAGATCGTCTAAAGAGACCAGCTGGGCACCAGCTCGTCTAACTAGACCAGCTGGGCAACAGCTCGTCTAAATAGACCAGCTGAGCAACAGCTCGCCTAAAGATTTATTTTTTCAGTAGGTAGGTTAAGTTCGTAAATGGGCCATGTAGGTCCACGTTTTCATATAGCCCCCATACATCGGTACCTCCCTATATTCGGTATTTTGATGATTTCAGCGACATTATTCACCGGAATTGTTTCAAATTTGGTATTTGAAGTTCCAAATGGATACTACACCCTAGGATAGAAAATTGTCTGTGCAAGTCCATGTCTTCGTATAGCCCCCATATAACGGTACCTCCTGATATTCGGTATTTTGATGATTTTAGTGACATTATTCACCAGAATTGTTTCAAATTTGGTACTTGAAGTTCAAAATGGATGCTACCCCCTAAGACAGAAAATTGTCTGTGCAGGTCCACGTCTTCGTATAGCCCCTATATAACGGTACCTCCATATATTCAGTATTTTGATGATTTTAGCGACATTATTCACCGGAATTGTTTCAAAATTGGTATTTGAAGTTCGTTATGGGAACTACAGTCTGTGACAGAAAACTGTATGTGCGGGTCCAGGTCTTCGTATATGCCCCATATATCAGTACCTCCCTATATTCGGTATTTTGACGATTTTAGGTACAATACACACCGAAATTGTTTGAGATGTGGTATTTGAAGTTCGTAATGGATGCTACAACCTGCGACAGAAAATTGTCTATGCTGGTCCAGGTCTTCGCACAGCTCCAATTTAACGGTACCTCCTTATATACGATATTTTGATGATTTTAGCTACATTATTCACCGTTTATTTCAAGTTTCGAATTTGAATATGGTAATGGCTTATGACAAACAATGCCTATGTATGTCCACTTCGTATAGACCCCAATATAACGGCTATATTCGATATTTTTAAAATTTTAACAGAATTTTTTAAGGATTTTATTTTTTGAAAATTTCCAAATTCGTTGCAAATGGTGGAGGGTATTAAAAGTTCGGCCCTTGCTTGTTAACTTGCTTTTATTAGTTTATGGTCAGAAACTTTTGCGTAATATACATATTTACATAGCCTGTAAATAAATTTATAGCCCTTTTTACATGTTATAATAAATAATACTACGCGAAATATTCTTGTTTACATAACAAACATCAACCAGTTGTTTTTATGGGCAAATAAAAGCTAATCCCAAGGCAAATATAATCCTAAACTTATACGACCAGCAAATATTGGAGCTATAATAAAAGCCACTTACTCTCACACACAAAAATACTCAGCAACCTGCAGATAACAAAACATTTTTGGGGTAACTAAAAACAAAGTTCCAAAGCTAACCTTGAACTTTTACTTCGCAAACTACAAAATACAGGTACTTCAACAGCGGCAACAATGAAAATTTAGGTTTTTTTTTTCTTCGAAAATTCAACAAAGGTAATTTGGGGTTGGAGTCCAATTCACATATTCGTACAAAACCCACACACATACTCGCGCAAAGCGTATTATGAAAATTTTCAATGAAATAACACCTGCATGAGGACACACTCAAACACACACACACATTGTTGACTATGACAATATAATTATCTGTGCCTGTGTGCCGTTTTTGTTTGTTACATTGTTTGGCACTTTTGACGTTGAAACACGTCCTCAACTTTGGCCATTGTTTTCCAATGTCCTGCATAACTTTAGGCAATTTATCCTTGTCCTCCATTCTTGTTTGGCTGTCAGTATATTTTTTCTTTCTCAGTATTGTGTCAGTGTGTGCGTGTGTGTGGTTGTTTAATTCTGAAAAATACAATTCAGCTGAGGATAATCTTTAATCAGACTGTTGTGATTCGGTGGAAATTGGTGATGGCGTGTCACACCCAAATATAGGATTTTTATTTTAACAAAAAATGTTATTGCAGAATAACCTTTTAGACTTCGTCCTAAACCACTTTATATTTATTTTGTACTTGTTTTGATAACACAAATTGCATTCGGCTTCCTAATGACAGTTATATTTTTATGGCTCAGTGCTACGTGACTGCAATATTTGGGGGTTTATAAATGTTAAAACATTTTCCCCTCCTCAGTGGCAGGCAGGGCATTATTTAAGTGTAATGGCACCAGCAAGGACAATATTTGTGGGTTTTTTAAGAATATTTTTTTTCAAGAGCAATCAAAGTCGTATTTGTGGTTTTTGCGAGAATTTATTTTTTCAAATATCATCAAAGGATTTTTAATTATCACACTGTGCGACAAAATTCCAATTTTCAATAATTACAGGAAATATCCAGCAGATTATGAAAGTAGAGCTAAAAACAGAAGACACGCGTATGGTCGTTTTGAAAATTTACAACGCAAAATAATCACCTTCTTGATTATTTTCGGAAGTTTTCGTATTCAGATTCTTTGGAATTCCCGCCAAAATTAATGATAAAAAAACGAGAATTATTATTATAAAATTATTTATTATTATAGAATTATTTTGAAAAAAAAAATACCCTCCAGCAAGTTACCAACAGGGTATTTTTTGGTACAATTAGGTACTTTTCGTACTATTATAGTACGCATTTCGACACCACTTACAAAGTGGTTGAGATGAAAAAACTACAACCAATTTCAGACTGCTGTCATTTCTAAGCCGCTCGTCCAACAGCTGTTAAAATTATTCCAGTGACAGGTCATGATGTTGTTCACAAGCGTACAAAATCATTTTGGTCAGAATTTCCTAGAAAAAAAGTTATTCGTGATGGAATTCGAGCGTGATAGTGTGATTTCTTTATATTTGGCTGGCAAACCACAAGTGGCTATCGTTAGAGCACTTCAGCATTTAAATGTGAATCTTTTGTGTCTCGTACCATCGCTCGTTACCGTGACATGGTAGCGTGCCCCGACGTCAAGGAAGTGGACGAAAGAAAACAACAACATCCGCAGAAATGGTTCGAAAAATAAAGAAGCAACTTGATCGAAACTCGCCTCGCAGTGGCCGAAAAATGGCTTGTGAGCTGAACATATTGCAATATTCCACTCGGCAAATATTGAAAAATGAGCTCGGGCTATAGCCATTGAAATTCCAAAAAGTGCAATAACTTACACCGCAACTGAAAGAAAATAGACTCAAAAGAGCTAAAGAGTTGCTTCGATTGGCCGAAAGTAGTGAACTGTCGAATTTGTTTTTCTCCGATGAGACTCTCGTTGTCCAGCAGTTTGTAAACAAACAAAACGATCGTGTGATCGGCACTTGCAAAAGAGGTCAGCTGAAAATGTGCTCCTTCGTTAGCGACCAGAACTCAAGCGCCGGCCATGGTGTGGGCTGCCATAACAGCCGATTGGCGCTCTCCGCTCGTATTAATCGACCGTGGCATCAGAATAAATGCCGAATATTATTGCGAAAATATTCTGGAGGGTGTACTAAAGCCTTGGGCACACAAATATTTTGGCCGCAGACCTTCGACATCCCAACATGACTCAGCACCATCGCACTCAGCTCGCGCCACCCAAGAATGGTTACAAAATGAGGTTCCTTGCTTCATTTCCAGTGCACAATGGCCACCATAATCTCCGGATACCAATCCGTTAGACTATTGTGTCTAGAGTAGTTTGGAAAGCAAGATTGGCACTAAAAAATACCAAAGTGTCGATCACCTCAATCTACCGCTTCGCCAGTAATGGACCAAAATACCGCAGAGTAACATTCGGCCAGTGTGTGAGGATTTCATTGGCAGTTCGAAGGTCATAATTCGTGCCAAAGGCGACCAATTGGAGCAAATCCAAACTTTTTCTAAAGTTTGATGCTGTTTCCGACATTTTTTGCTTTCATTCAATAA